ATCAGGGAAGACTCACAGGTGCCACCCTGAGTGGAAAGCTGGAAACAGACGCAGGAAAAGGAAGGTCTCTGGGCAGTGTGCCAGGCACGGGAACCCCAAATGTAAAGGCCCTGTGACTGGCCCAAACTTCGTGTTAGACAAACTGAAAGAAGAATCAGAGAGAGCATGACTATCTCAGGACTCTGTAAATTTCAAAGTGCTGTGTACGCATGCAGCAAGGATGTCTCTGTGGCTGGCTCCTTGACGTTACACGCTTTACTTCTGAAGGTGTCCATCCAAGTGCTTTCTGTCCCTCCGCTCTGGGACAAGCCCCAGGCTAGCAGTGTCCGCAAGGTGGAAACTTGAAGGGCCTTCTCTCTGGCCCTGAGGTCCTGCGGCTTCCTGGAAGGCAAACAGACCCACACACCACGTTTCACGCCGGGGTTGGCCCGTCACTTCCTGATGCTGGCACCCCTGTCGCGAAGCGGCGACCAGGCGAGAAGGTCTGGTACAAGCAGCATGTAAGCCTGGGCCCCGGAAGGACGACCCACGCGCTCCAGCTGCGGAAGGTCTGCGCAGGCGGCGGCGCCACCCGGGCAGGAAGGGCGGGACCGAGCGGGGAGGGCGGGGCCGAGAGGAAGGGGCGGGGCCGAGGGCCCGAGGGGCGGGCGGAGCGGGAGGAGTCCTAGACTTGGCCGCCGCTGTCGCCGCCGCCAGGTAAGAAGCACGGGTTCAAATGGGCCGCGGGCGGGGCTCCCCCACGCCGAGGCCACTCCCCACCGCAGGCCGCACGAGGGTTACTCCTACGTGGCCCGGCCGACCCGGCCCCGCGGGCCTTTGCCCCCCACCCCGCCCTCCACACCTCGTGGGCGCCAGGCCTCCTGAGGAGTGGCCGCCAGCTGCTCCTGGCGCCGACTGCAGGTGTCCAGGCTGCCTGGTTGTTGCTTGGTTTCTTTCAGAAAAGAAAGTGCTTTTAGAAATTACGTAGGGCGACAGATGGGGAAACTGAGGCCGGGCGGAGCACCCAGGCATTTCCTGCTTCCCGGCTCATGGCTCTGAGCCCTTAAAGGTCACCCAGCTCCTCCTTTGCTTAGTGAGGACGCTGCTCTGGTCCTGGGAGAGGGAGGAACTTGCCCAAGGTCACACAGGGTCACGGGCTTTCCCTTGTCGCACGTGACCCCCCCACGGACCAGTGAAGAAGGCCTTCGGCACCCCTCACCTCCTCTCTCCTTGCCCCGGCAGCCCACTGAGCTCACAGCACACCTTCGAGCTGAGAATTCCAAGATGGGGCTGGGAATTCCTTCTGGAATAAAGCCCCCAATTACAGATGGACCACGTTTCTTACCCTGCCACCTGTTGACAGAGTAGGAAAGAATTATTGCTACTAACTTTTGAGGGGATTTGACAACTAGGTAAACAGGCTCAGAGAGATGACTTCCCCAAGACTGCATCCCTAGGGAAGAGAACATTTTAAGAACGTGGGTCGTCCGACCCAGTGCCTGGCACAGAGACAGAGTAGGCTTTAACGGTGCCCTTTCTCTGGAGTCAGCACAGCAGGGTTAGACTCTGGTCTTGGCCTGAGACTACTGCCTAACAAGAAGTAGGAGTGAACATGTTAGTTATTTTCCTTCACTCAGGGTTTATTTCACTGAAGAAAATATGAAACCCCTTTAAGCTTCAGGGGTATCCATTCATTCACTGGACAAATATTAATTGAGCACCTACTGTGTGCCGGTGTGTGTACTGTTTAGGCATTGAAAATACAGCAGCGAACAAATTAAGTGTTGCCCTTGGGGAATACACCAAGAAGAATGGAATAAAATACTGCTCTTCAGCTGGGACGGGGCGGGGGGGGGGGGGGGGGGGGGGGGGGGGGGGGGGGGGGGGGGGGGGGGGGGGGGGGGGGGGGGGGTAGAAGGTTGGGGAGGGCTGAGCAGAGAGGAGAGACAATTGGAATCTTACGAACTGTGAAATCTGTGAAAAGGGCAGAGAGAGACCGAACCTCATAGCCTCAAACCCTCGTGGGTCTTAATCTAAACATTCAGCCGTCTAGATGCTCAGCCCAGGGGTTGGGGGGGAGGGGCGAGGGGGGTAGAGAGTAGTCCAACCGACCTAAAGAGTCTGCAGACCTGGCATTGCCACTCTACAGCTGTGATATGTTACACCATCTTGGTTTCATTATTATTCAGCAGGGTCATAAACGTGCATAGCGTTGATGATACCATGTCAAAATGCTTCTCAAATGCTAAAGCATGATCCACAGTGCGGCCTGTATCAGAGGCCTTGCCAAATCAGGTGTAAGCGAAGGTGTATTTATCTAGAGGCTCTGGTGTCCCTGTTGGTAACCTGTTACTGCTCTCAGTAGAGAAGTGTAAGAGGCAGAGGTGGGGGTGGCTGAATTCCAGGCGAGGAGGCTGAGGCTCCCTGCCTGGCTTGAGAAACGGAATGTTTGTAACAGTCAGCATTTCAGCCTTTACAACCCTTGCTGTCACATTCCACACGCAGGGACCGAGCGCCTTCTCTGCCAGGCACTGTTCTAGGGTGCATCAAGGAAATGGCACAAAAGCCACTACCCTGGTGGGGCTTTTTCTGGAGAAACAGACCACAAACAAGTAAACCTGTAATCCATTGTGCATTGGTGGCAGATTTGATAAGGATGCAAGGTCACGCAGGGTCTGCTGGGAGGGAGGAGGGGTGGGGCCTGCTCTTTTGCTGGGGCATCTGGATGAAGGACTGATGTCTTGAGCATTGTCCACTCTGACCTTGACCCTCCTGGGTGGCAGCGGTGGGCGGGAGGAGGGGGGGAGGGCGGGGATCCTGGCACTTAGGTAAGTAGCTGTTAGACCCCAGAGCAGGTGAGGGGCTGGCCAGACAAAGCCTGGGGCGGGGGGGGGTGCTCCAGAGGCAGCAGATCCCAGTTCAGCTGCACAAATCCAGGGAGGCTCATGGCAGTCCCTGAGCCCCTTTGATAAAGGGGGTTTGAAGTCACATAGGCCTGTGGAGTGCATTCAGGCATCTCTATTTACCAGCTGTATGGCCTTCACCTCTATTGGCCTCAGTTTTCTCATCTGTAAAATGGGGACAATGATAGTTTCTTCCTCATTAGGTTGTTGTGAGGCTGAAATGGGCTCATGAGAGTAAGCTGGCAGGAAATCTTCACTGATTTTAGTATTAAACCATGCTTTTGAAAAAGGACATCATTTGGACACCGAGAGGTCAGCACAAGTTGAGGCCTAAGGCCGGAGTCCCAGTGTGGGCCAGAAGGCAAAGATAATGCAGTTTGCCTGAGGCCAGGCTGGGAGAAGGGGACTGGAGGAAAACAAAGGTGGAAAGACAGGTTAGGTCTGTCCCAGAAGTGCTTAGGCTGAAAAGTGGGGTGTTAGCCTGTGTTCAGATGAGAGCTAGTGAGATTCATCTAAGTTGGTGACTTTCAATTTGTGTTTGAAATCTTTTGGGCCACCTTGGGACATCAACTAAAGAGAGTAGTGCAGCATTGTAGCTGGGGCAACTGGCTCTGGGCTAAGACCCAGGTGTGTTTAGATCCCACATTACTTGCCCGGTGACCTTAACCTTCATTTCTCAGGGCCTCTCTGTCCCTCTTGTAGATTGGAGATAACAGCACCTACCTTGTAGGGCTGCTTGGGAGGAAGTGAAATGATGTGTGGAAAAGAGTGGCACACGGCTAGCATGTGCTAAGAATCTACTGTTATAATTCTTTTTTTTTTTTAATGTTTTATTTATTTCTAGGAGAGAGAGAGAGAGACAGCGTGAGCAGGGGAGGGTCAGAGAGAGAGGGAGTCACAGACTGAAACAGGCTCCAGGCTCTGAGCTGGCAGTCAACACAGAGCCCGACGCGGGGCTCGAACCCACGAACCGTGAGATCATGACCTAAGCGAAAGTCGGACGCTTAACTGACTAAGCCACCCAGGCGCCCCTCTACTGTTATAATTCTTAAAAATTTAATTGTGATGAAATAACATAAAACTGGCCATCTTTAAGTGTGCAGGTCAGTAGTGTTAAGTATATTCACATCGTCGTGCACCCTATCTCCAGAACTTTTCCACTTGCAAATCTGAAACTCTGGATCCATTAAACAACTGTGTACTTCCCCGTCTCTAGCCGCTGGCCACCCTTCTGCTTTTTGTCTCTAGAATTTGGACTATTCTAGGTACTTCACATTAGTGAGATCATGCAGTATCTGTCTTTCTGTGACTGGCTTATTTCCCTTAGCATAATGTCCTCAAGGCTCATCCATGTCTTTTTTTTTTTTTTTTTTTTTTACAAATAGTTTATTGTCAAATTAGTTTCCACATAACACTCAGTGCTCATCCCCACAAGTGTCCTCCTCCATGCCCATCCCCCCTCCCCCCCACATCCATCAGTCCTCAGTTTTTGTCAGCATTCAAGAGTCTCTCATGGTTTGCCTCTCTCCCTTTCCCCCACCATTTCCCCCCTTCTCCTCCCCCATGGTCCTCCGTCAAGTTCCTCCTAATCCTCCTATACGTGCAAACATATGATANCTCCCCCTTGTTCCTCCGTCAAGTTCCTCCTAATCCTCCTATACGTGCAAACATATGATATTTGTCCTTCTCTGCCTGACTTATTTCGCTCAGCATAGCACCCTCAAGGTCCATCCATGTGGCTACACAAGGCCAGATTTCATTGTTTCTCATTGCCATGTAGTATTCCATCGTATAGATAAAGCACATCTTCTTGATCCATTCATCTGTTGAAAGGCTCATCTATGTCTTAATAGCTCAGGATTTCCTTCCTTTTTAAAGGCTGAGTAATATTCCCTGGGATCAATTACTTTTTTATTGTTGTACATCCACTCATCTGTTGATGGACACTTGGGTTACTTCCACCTTTGAGCTATTGAGAATGATGCTGCCATGAACATGGGTGCACAAATGTCTTTTTGAGATCCTGCTTTCATTGCTTTTGAGTGGAAAATACCCAAAGGTGGTATTGCTGGATTATTTACTGCTATACTTTGAAGGTGGAGCACGGAAGGTTCCTCACTGTATCTCCTTTTGCCCATCAGACCAAAAGAAGTCCCTGGGGCCCTGTGGGGCGGTTTGAAAACCAGTGGATCAAGTGGATCGTTACAAGCTTTGCCTCCCCTTCCTCGGCAGCTCCTTCCTCGGCACATGCGCCTCACATGATGTGTTTGTTCCCAAGTAGAAACCACCATTCATTCAACAAATGTTTGTCAGTGCCTACCATGCTTATGTAAGGGCAGGAAGAGATAGACCATGAGCAGTAAGCGTGAACCAGAAAATGAGCTAGGATGTCAGTGATTTTGTGCTGTGGACCGAGCAGGGGAGCCAGGTGACGGGGATTGGGATGGAAGACGGTCAGGACGGTCTCCCTGAACTGTGAAATTTGAACAGAGACAGGAGGGAGGTGAGAGTTGGCCATGTATTTGCCTGCAGGAACAGCATTCCAGGCAGAGGGAACAGACAGTGCGAAGGCCTTGAGGTGAGAGCATGCCTGGTGGGCTCCAGGAGCAGCAAGGAGAATGGCGGAGCTTGAACAGAACTAGTGAAAGGAGAGGGGGCGGATGGTGGAGAGGCCAGGGGCCAGGTTGCGTATGGACCAGGCATGACTGATAGAACAACTGAGTGTGGAAAGGAGGTCAGTGGAGGTTTGGAGCAGAAAAGGGACACGTCTGACTTCAGGGCGAGATGGAACTCACCGGCCACTGCATGGTGGGCAGCTAGGGAGGAGGGCTGACGGAGCAGGGAATGGGTGGGAAGACCCATGCCGGGAGCCACCTGACATGATCTCGGCTTGTATCAGAAAGCTAGTGGAAGAGAATGGAGCAACCATAATGTGGACAAAATGTCATACAACTTGAGTATCTACCCCAGTGGCATATGGTGCCACCCTACTCCACCACCTACCCATCCTCCAGGCCGCTGGAGTGAGATGGGATAGGAAGTTCCCCTCTGTGCCAACATCCCTTCTTTCTTCTGGTCTGTAGTGGAATTGTCTGAAACCCTCTGGGTTCTTCTGTTGCCACGGAGACCTCCTGAGATGCTACATTTACCACTGGCTTCCCATTTAAGTTCCAGACAGAGGTATTGAATGAATGGATTTCTCTCCTAAAATGCTGGAGGGGGATGGGGATGGGGAATGAACTGGAACTGCCTTAAGTCCTCCCTTCTAGGATCATCTCAAGAGTGGGGGGAGGGGGGGATGGGTGTGTGTGGGCATGAACTCTGAACTACCATCTTCAGAGTCTCCGGCCTAAGAACGGTGCTGTGGCTCTATTTGCTGTGAAGGATTTCTTCGGCCAAATACTTTTCTGTCTCCTTGGCTTCAACACCGTTCATCCCCAGCCCTCCTGTGATACTGTAGTTATCCCGCTAGTGATGCTTATTTTAATGTACTGCAGGCTCATTTATAAACACTCAACTGTAGGGGCGCCTGGGTGGCTCAATCGGTTAAGCGTCCATCTTCAGCTCAGGTCATGATCTCACGGTTTGTGGGTTTGAGCCCCATGTCGGGCTCTGCGCTGACAGCTTAGAGCCTGGAGCCTGCTTCCGATTCTGTGGCTCTCTCTCTCTCTCTGCCCCTGCCCTGCTCGTTCTCAGTCTCTCAAAAATAAATAAATGTTTAAAAAGATTAAAACAAAATAAAAACTCAACTGTAACCAGTTAACCAGAAAAAAAGAGAAAAGAGGGAGAAAGAGAACACCTTTCCCCACCCACTCCGTACACATACATTCACATTGAATTTGACCTTGGCCTCCACTGGCTGCTCCAAGGGGGTAAAAAAGTCCATAAAGGGCTGGCACGTGAGAAAACCAAAAATTCATTCTTGCATGTGCTCTTCTAAAGAAAGGCCCAGGTCATGGAGTTTTAAGGGTGATTTAAAGGCTATTCAAGGATAATATTGATCATACTGGTTTTCTCGTCAGTGCTGACTTTGGAATTTTTTATCTCCCCAAAAGAAAATCCTGCTGTGTTGTTTATGGTATTAGTTAACAATTATGGGTCATGTGCCTCCTGTGGGTGCAGGCAGAGCGAGGACAGGTGTGGAATGGCTCTCTACCCTCACTACCGACAAAAATAGCTCAACCAGCATTTTCTTTGGTGGTTGGGAACGCAGCTGGCTAGATAAAACTCATCATCACAGAGTATCATGACATCCTGCTCTGGCACTGCCTGTCCATCCGGGGACTGGGCTTTGCAGGCTAGCCATGGTGAGTCATCATCCCGTTTGTTCTCACTGTGTATGTTTTTTCCTTGCCAGTTGGTCTTTTCTGGGTCGAGTGCAGGCCTTTTTCGGAGTTCCATGGTGTCTTCACAGTACCTAGAAGCTACTCTGGTCATCAGTGACCTCTGAGGCCCCAGGTGCTGCTCGACCAGCTATCTGCCCACTAGGTGGTGCCAGGGCGTGTCACCACTGGCCCGGACCAGCAAGGTCTTTTTCTCGCTGCAGGAATCCAGCACTCCCTCTTGAAGTCAGTTTAGCTTCTCAGACATACTTGAGAATCTCAGCTCAACTTGGACCGAATCCTGATCCCAAATCAGACCAAGGTGTAAGGTCCCCTGAAGACCAGTGTACCCAGGTCAAGGGTATATCTCCCGGCCCCACAGCTGCCACCACATTCCCTCAGCTGGAATAGTTTGGGGGCCCAGCCCATCCACGTGGACAGGCCGTAGAGTTGGAACCAGGAATTTCTCCGTCACACCATCCTGGGTAGATAGGAGTCGCCTCAGTCCGTCACTCTGACCCCCGTCCATTTTGTTGATGACAAGACCTGTTTATTGGTCAATGGACTTAATGTGACCTCAGCCCCATGGGCTTGGCGGGCCACGTGAGGCCAGGGCTTTCTGAGATAAAGCACTCCTCTTCTGGGTATCAAGAGCAACATTGTCTTTAATTAAAAATGTTTTGGGGAGCCTGGGTGCCTCAGTCAATTAAACCTCTGACCTCGGCTCAGATCATGATCTCACCACTTGTGAGTTTGAGCCCCGCACTGGACTCTGTCCTGACAGCTCAGCACCTGGAGCCTGCTTCAGATTCTGCATGTCTCTCTCTGCCTCTCCTCCCCTCTCTCCTTGGCACTCAAAAAGAAAAAAGAAGGAAGAGAAAAAGAAGAAGAAAGAAAGAAACGTTTAAAAAAAATTTGGTTTTGGGGCGCCTGTGTGGCTTAGTCGGTTAAGCGTCCAGCTTTCGCTTAGGTCATGATCTCGCAGTTTGTGGGTTCGAGCCCCACGTTGGGCTCTGTGCTGACTGCCAGCTCAGAGCCTGGAGCCTATTTCAGAGTCTGTATCTCCCTCTCTCTCTGACCCTCCCCTGCTCACACTGTCTCTCTCTCTCTCTCTCTCCTAGAAATAAAAAAATAAAAAAATAAAAATATTTTAAAAAAAATTTGTTTTTGGGGCGCCTGAGTGGCTCTGTCAGTTAAGCATCCGACTCTTGATTTCGGCTCAGGTCATGATCTCAGAGTCATGAGATCAAGCCCCGTGTCAGGTTCAGTGCAAAGTCTGCTTGGAATTCTCTCTCCCTCTCTCTATGTCCCTCTCCAACTTGTACGCGCTCTCTCTCTCAAAATAAATAAACTTAAAAAATAAAATAAAATGCTTTTCTTTATGAAAACATCAATATGCTCAGGACAGACAATGTTAAAAACTCAGAAAATTAGAAAGAACAAAACCCAATAACTTCTAGCCCCACAGCCCTGCCACCAAGAGATAGTGATCATTAACATTTGGATATATTTCCTTGTGATCTTTTTTTCTTAAATTCTTTTCATGTTTATTTATTTTGGGGAAAGAGAGACCACACAAGCAGGAGAGGGCAGAGAGAGAGGGAAAGAGAGAATCCTAAGCAGGCTCCGTACTGTCAGCACAGAGCCTGACATGGGGCTCAGTCTCATGAATGAGGCTCAAGTTCATGACCTCAGCAGAAAATAAGAGCTGGGCGCTTAACTGACTGAGCCACCCAGGCGCCCTTCTTTGTGATCTTTTTGTTCTCTGAAACTTTTTAAAAAAACATACCTGGAGGGGCACCTGGGTGGCTCAGTCAGTTAAGCGTCAGACTTCAGCTCAGGTCATGATCTCACAGCTCATGGATTCGAGCCCTGCGTCGGAATCTGTGCTGACAGCTCAGAGCCTGGAGCCTGCTTCGGATTCTGTGTCTCCCTCTCTCTCTCTGCCCCTCCTCTGCTCACACTGTCTCTCTCTCTCCCTCTCAAAAATAAATAAACATGAAAAAAAAATTTTAAAACCATACCTGGAAGCATTTTGTCTATCCAGTAGTACACTGTTAACCACTGTCAGGAAACTAAAATCTGTCATTTGTAGCATCTGCCAATGTCTGTAGTAGAAATACTCCCCCTGTGGCCTGTCTCGGGCTGACAGTGTCGTGTTGAGTCAGCTCTCCCCAGCCAGTACGAATGAGCCCATGTCAGCAACCCATGTCATAATTTAAAATCGTGTCCTTTTTTTCTGATCATAAAATCGACACATTGCTGAAAACTCACAAAATGTAGACAATAAAGAAAAACCTATTTATGACAGAAAAGTCTCTGGTATGTCACCTTTCATAGAGAATTTGGGAGATGGTTCCTCCAGCCATTTTGCTTTTTCTGCAGGTTTTAACATGGTTGGACTCGTAGCTTGAATCTCATAGTTTGTAGGCATGGTGCAGGCACTTTGTCATGCCCCAGAGGAAGGGGACATCCAAGAGAAGGACATTATCCCTGATAATCCCTTAAAGAGGATTAAAGATGGGGCACCTGGGTGGCTCAGTCGGTTAAGCGTCCAACTCTTGATTTCAGCTCAGGTCACAATCTCACCTCAGGTCATGATCTCACGGTTCGCGATTTCAAGCCCCGCATCCGGCTCTGACAGTGCAGGGCCTGTTTGGGATTCTCTCTTCCCTCTCTCTGCCCTTACCCCACTCACTCTCTCTCTCTCAAAATAAATAAATAAACTTTAAAAAAATTTTAAGGATTAAAGAAGCAGAAAATCATACTCTGGTTCTTTTGCACAGAAAATAGCCACTAGGAGGAAGCGCAGGTAATTTGAGGTTGTGGGGAAACCTGGGTAATTCTAGATGCTTGCTTGGCCCCCTGTCCGATTTCCCCTCCGCTGATGCCCCATCAACGTGTAAGAACAGGAGCGCCTTTGGGGAGAGAATGAGCAGGAAAATCTAGCTCTTGCCTAAGCCTAAAAGCTAGGTCATTCATTCGTTCCTGTCACAGACATTTTCTGAGCAGTCACTCGGTGGCAGGTAAGTGCGAGATACAAGGAAGGAGATCTGGTGCCTGCCGGCTACTGCCTGGCTCACCAGGCTCACCGTGGAGCTGGGCGCTGTAACCACATCGCAGGTTGGGTGAAGTCAGAACAGGGATATATTCAGTGAGACAGCAAATGCATGAGCCCATGCAGAATGCCAAGGCCGTGCTCAGTGATGGCCATTTTCCTGCAGAGAAAAGCATCACAGGTAGGGGGCCTGCTGGACAAAGGCCCAGAGGACGGAAAATATTCCGCAGGAAAGTACGCAGCAGTTGCTAACAGCTCCCTTTCTCTCTCCTCTTCCAGATCCCACACCCTATGGACCCACAGGCTGGTTTTTCTGGTTTGCTCCCCCCAGGGTAATTTGCATATTTCTCCAAGAACCTTCAAGAAGCTGAGCAGCCTGTTTCCAGACTTAGAGAGAGGGGAGTCCAGGGGTGGCCGGCAACTTTTTCCTGAAATCTGGGTAAGCGTCATTTAAGGTTTCTTTTTCTTCAAACCCTCACCGTTATTTACAATGGGCTTATTGTAAATATGAGTTTACATATTGTCTGCCTCCTTCCCTGGAACGTACCGCCATGACAGAGGGCTGCTGTCTGTCTGTCTGTCTTAGTCTCTGCTGTTCCCACAGCATGCAGGATGACACCTTCCACCTAATAGGTGCCAGTGTGTGTTTATTAAATTCATTGCTTCTTGATCCTTTGGTTAAGATCAAGTGTATTTATTAAATGAACTAGTTATAGGCACCTGGGTGACTCAATCAGTTAAGCATCCAACTCTTGATTTCAGCTCAGGTCTTGATCTCACGGGTCATGGGTTCCAGCTCTGTATCAGGCTCTGCGCTGACAGTGGGGAGCCTGCTTGGGATTCTCTCTCTCTCTCTCTCTCTCTCTCTCTCTCAAAAATAAATAAATATACTTAAAAGAATGAACTCGTTAGTTTGAGGTGAGGTGACCATTTGCTTTTAATTTACTTAGAACTTAAGGAAAGATCTTTAACAAGCTATCGAGACATCCCGCTGCTTTTTAGAAAGCTCTTTATCTTAAAATAATTATAGTCTCACAGGCAAAATATTAGTACCAAGACATCCCACATACCCTAACTCAGCTCCCCCTGTGGCCACTGCCTTCACAATGAAGTCTGACTCCTGACTGGCAGAACTTGGCATGGTGCGGGGCCCCGCCGGCTCACTTCTTCCCCTCCCACCCCCCCCATGTCCACCCGCTGTCCAAGCTCTGGCTACACTGAGCATCTTTTTGGTTCTTCAAAAGCATCTTCTCTCTTGTACCTCTGGGTCTCGACACAGGTCTTGTACCTCTTCCCCTGTGCCCAGAACATGTTCTTGCCATCACCTCACCCCTGTCTGACCGCCACCTTCTCTCGGAAGCTGGTTCTGGGTCACAGGCCCCTGTTTGTGTCCCTCCGCCCGTGTTGGCCCCGTTTCGTGTTTACCCTGCTACTTTGTCATCGTCTGTTTACTTGTCTGTCTCTACCACCGCACAGTGTCTTCTACGGGTTACCCTTTCACCTCCACCCGCCGGCTGTCGCCCTTGCTTCCTGCAGGCCTCGGCTGGAGCAGTCCCTTTCAGCCGCACACCATCATCACCCCCTCCTGCCACATCACTTCACATCCCCCTCACCCTGACGCGTCTTCCCCGGTGATTCCTTCACGGATCTGACAGTCAGATCTGAGTGTGAATCTTAGCTCTGCCACTTACTAGCCACGTGATCTTGGGCGAGTTACTTAGATTATTATTATGTATTGCTGGATTATTGCCCGTGTCCCATCAGAAGGCAAGCAGGGAATGTGTCAGTTTGTCACCTGATCTGGCCCAAGGCCCAGACCAGGGCGTCACACATCATTTTCCCTTCTTCATTCACCCCGCACATATTTATTGAATGTCTGCAGTATTCCACAGCCTATTCAGAGAGCTAGAGACATAGCAGTAAAAAAAACAAAACAAAACAAAACAACAACCAGGGACCTCCCTCAAGAAGCTTATATTCTATTTGTATACACAGGTAAATAAAAAATTTAATATACATTATTTAAGATGGGGATAAGTATTATAAAACCCAAACAGAGGAGAAGGGCAGGAATACTTTAGCCTGGGAGGTCAGGGAGGGCCTCTCAGGGGAGGTGACATTCAGGCCGAGGCAGAATGATGTGAAGGTCAGAGGAAGAGTGTCCCAGGAAGGGGAACAGCAGGTGTAAAGGCCTGGAGGGGGGACCAGCTTGCATATTTGAAAGCACATCCACGGCCAGCCAGTGCGACTGTAGCGTGGTGAGCAGGCCAGGTTTGGGGCATGAGAGGGAGTTCAAGTGTGGACAGGGGCCATCATAAAGGGATTAGTGTTCATCCTGGTGTGAGGGGACGCCTCTCGAGGCTTTTAAGCAGACAAGTGACATGATTGGTACATAAGACAAAAAGGCCACTCCAGCTGCTGTGTAGAGAATGGATCACAGGACATCAAGAGTGTATCTTGTTGAATGAATGAGTCAATCTGACCTGATCTGAGCGTTTTGTGCCCTGAGCTCATCCCCTCTCCCCTGTGGATTGAGACAGGCCAACTCATGCTTCTCTGATTAGAAGGCTATTTGTTCTTGAACTGAGAACTATCGTGGGCTCTCCAAGTACCAGCCCCATAAAATACCATCTTGGGCTCTTCTGGGTGAGAGGCACAGTTACCGCAGTCTCCAAATGGAGTGGATTAAATGTAGAACTCACTAGGCCTGCCGACATCGTGGCTGGGTGCTGCCCCTGCTCCTTCGTTCGTGACTTCTTGTCCCCTTTGTCCACCACCACGATCTGAGCTGATCCTGTGAACCAGGGAAGTCTGCCTCGAACCTCAAACTTGGGTTTCTGGAGCAACCATTGGAGGCCAGTCTCGCTGGGTGACACTGGCCAAGGTCTTAACCTCTCTGGGCTGCAATTCCTCCATCTGAAACAAAGGAAGGAGGATCCCTGTGCATATGTAGCAGAAAGAACCCAGGGTTTGGAGCCAGAAGTCTGGTTTGACTTTTGTTACTTACTTACTGTGTAATTTTGGGAAAAGCCCTTGGCCTCTCTGAGCCTGTTTCTCAGCCGCAGGATGGAATCCTAATGGCTCATGTCCTACTTAACCTTACAGGATAATTGTGAGATTTAAATGCATTGTAAAGTGCTTTGCAAACTGTTACATTCTGTACACATGTTGACTTGTGGCTTTTAACTACTTCGGGGTTACTTTGAAAAACTAATGAAATATTAGTTGTGCATAGACTTTTAAATAATTCCTCTGTAGAAGTAATATTTTGAGGATAAAAATTTTTAAGTTTACTGATTTATTTTGAGAGCGAGAGAGCACACAAATGAGGAATGGGCGGAGAAAGAAGGAGAGAGAGAGAGAGCAGAGCCCAATGTGGGGCTCGAACTCACAAACCGCAAGATCATGACCTGAGCCGAAGTCAGACACTTAACTGACTAAGCCACTCAGGCGCCCCTGAGGATAAAGATTTTTATTGCTCAGCTGGATAAGAATGCATTCATGGTCAGGGCTGAGTGTGGGTATAAGACTTGATATCTCTTGGCAGTTATGATGCATATTTATTTTTTTTAATTTTTTTTTAAAATTTATTTCTTGAGAGACCAAGAGAAACAGAGCATGAGTGGGGGAGGGGCAGAGAGAGAGGGAGACACAGACTCTAAAGCAGGCTTCAGGCTCCGAGTGTCAGCACAGAGCCTGATGCGGGGCTCGAACTCATGGACCACGAGATCATGACCTGAGCCGCAGTCGGACACTTAAATGACTGAGCCACCCAGGCGCCCCTATGATGCATATTTAAACAGAGGTGGCAGCCAAGAGCTCTGGCTTTGGGCTCCAGTCTGCCATTTTCCTACTGGGCAACCCGGACTCAATTACTTCTCCTCTGAGGCTGTTCCCTGTTTGCAGACTGGACATTATTGTGATGCCTGAGCTCATAGAACTAGCTGAGATGGAACATGTTAACTCTGTAGCCCCAGGGCCTGGCCCTGAGCAACAGGCACATAATGTTAGCTCTCACCATTATCTATACACCTCTGCCATGTGCCAGGCACTGTGCTGAGCATTTCGGTTTGTTGATTTTTTGAATGCACTTATTTTTTTTTAACAGACATTTATGTGACGTGAGGCCTGTGGCAGACTTTGTGCTAAGTGCTTTACCAATACCCACATGGCTATGTCATTTACTACTAACATGGCTCCTCCAGGCAGATAATGTTATAGGCCCCTTGGCAGGTGAAGAAATGTGAGTGCAGAGAGGTTGAGTTGCCCAAGGCTCTGTATCTATCAGATGGAGGTACTTGGATTCATGCCCAGGTTTGTCTGGTTCTGAGCCTGCATTCATTTTCACAGTGCCCTGTGGTCAAGGCGGGTTCCCTTCCTGCTATCCACTCCCAGGACCCCTCCTGCCCCTTGAATGCCTGGCTTGACTTGGTCTGTTCCCTCCCTGCCTTCTCTGCTTCCCCTTCTGCCCCTGGAAAGGAAAGAAAGAATAAAAGGAGGGGAAAAAGGAGACCTCCTCCCCTCCCTTCCTTCCTTCCTTTCATTAAAGTATAACATACACAGAGTACACAAATCTTAAGCATATACAGCTTAATAAGTTTTAAAACATATTTATACACATGTAATCATCACTGGGTGAAACATTTCCATCACCCAGAAGCCTCACTGTGCCCCTTCTGAGCCAATACTCACAGCTTTCCATGGGCCACCTCTCTCCTGTCTTCTTTTACCTTAGATTAGAAAGCTGTGGAATGCGCCCGAAAAACAAACAACCCAGTGAAGAAATGGGCAGAAGACATGAACAGACACTTCTCCAAAGAGGACATCCAGATGGCCAACAGACACATGAAACGATGCTCAGCATCCCTCCTCATCAGGGAAATACAAATCAAAACCACACTGAGATACCACCTCACGCCAGTCAGAGTGGCTAAAATGAGCAAATCAGAGAACTCTAGATGCTGGCGAGGATGTGGAGAAACGGGCACCCTCCTGCACTGTTGGTGGGAATGTAAACTGGTACAGCCCCTCTGGAAAACAGTGTGGAGGTTCCTCAGGAAACTAACAATAGAACTCCCTTATGACCCAGCAATAGCACTGCTAGGAATTTACCCAAGGGATACAGAAATGCTGAGGCATAGGAGCACATGTACCCCAATGTTCATAGCAGCACTCTCCACAATAGCTAAAACATGGAAAGAGCCTAAGTGTCCATCAACAGATGAATGGATCAAGAAGATGTGGTTTATCTATACCATGGAATACTACATGGCAATGAGAAACAATGAAATCTGGCCATGTGTAGCAACATGGATGGACCTTGAGGGTGTTATGCTGAGCGAAATAAGTCAGGCAGAGAAGGACAAATACCATATGTTTGCACGTATAGGAGGATTAGGAGGAACTTGACGGAGGACCAAGGGGGAGAAGAAGGGCGGAAATGGTGGGGGAAAGGGAGAGAGGCAAACCATGAGAGACTCTTGAATGCTGACAAAAACTGAGGACTGATGGATGTGGGGGTAAGGGGGGGATGGGCATGAAGGAGGGCACTTTGGGGATGAGCACTGAGTGTTATGTAGAAACTAATTTGACAATAAACTATTTGTAAAAAAAAAAAAAAAAAAAAAAGAAAGCTGTGGAATGAACTCAATTCCACAGATAAGTGTATCTGCTTATCACTGTGTCTGTGAGGCTCACTCACATTGTTGTGGCTAGCCAGACTTCATTCTGTTTCATTGTTCTGTAATATTCCACGCTACAGATATGGCAAAGTTATCCATTCCACTGTGGACAAACATGTGGCTTGCTTCCAGTTTGCAACTATTATGAAGGAAGCTCCTATGAGCATTCATGTGCATGCCCTGTGAGGGACATAAGCCCTCATTTCTCAGGAGTAGAATTGCTGGGGTAAAGAATTGCATGTAAGACATACATTTAGCTTTAGTGCTAAAGTCAAACCAGTTTCCAGAAGGTTGTACCATGAATACTCTCATCAGCAGTATATGGGGTTCTATGTGTGGCCCTTATCCTCATCAACACTTAGTATTATCATGCTTTTAATTTTAGCCATTCTGATGAGTAAGTAGCAGTGTCTTGGGGTTTTAATTTATATTTCTCTGATGACTAATGGTGTGGAACACCTCTTCATGTGCTTATTGGGCCATGGGGTATCTTTTTTTAATATTTTTTTAATGTCTTTATTTTATTTTGAGAGACAGAGACAGAGAGCAAGCAGGGGAGGGGCAGAGAGAGAGCGAGACACAGAATCTGAAGCAGGCTGCAGGCTCTCAGTTGTCAGCACAGAGCCTAATGTGGGGCTCAAACCCACAGACTGTGAGATCATGACCTGAGCTGAAGTCGGACACTTAACTGACTGAACCACCCAGGCGCCCCTGGGTATCTTTTTATGAAGTACCTGTTCAAGTCTTTTGCCCATTTTTAAATTTGCCTCATTTCTTTTTCACCACGACTTATAGGAGTTGTTTATACACTAAAGATACAAATCCTTTGTTGATACGCATATTGAAAATACCTTGCCCCAGTCCATGGTGTGTGTTTTCACTCTCTTGAAGATGATGCAGGCTCATCTATCAATCTTTTCTTTCATGATTGGTAGTTACTGTGTCCATTTAAGTAACTTTGACCTAACCCCTCACCCCCGTTTGCATTTTTCACTGAGATTTTTCTTCCCTGCAGAGCTGGAAATGGACAGATCAAGCCAGGGGCCTTCGGCAGCTGAGCCAGCCATGGAGGGGGAGCCACATCTGCCCGTGGGCCGGGAGCTGGCCGAGGCCAACCGCTTTGCCTATGCTGCCCTTTGTGGCATCTCCCTGTCCCAGCTGTTTCCAGAACCTGAGCAAAGGTGAGTACCCTTGTCCTTACAGAAGAAACATCATGCTTCCTCTGGGAGGTCATTACTGACAGCCAAGCCACCTGTTGGGTATTCCTGGTAAAGAGGTGAAAGTCATTGCCCTTGTCTTCAAGGAGCTCACAGACCGGGATATTAGCTATCCCTCCTTCAGTACTCACTCATTTATACCTTCACCAAGCATTTTCTGGTTACCTGCTGTGGGCCAGGCATGATCTGGAGCATATAGAAGGTATACACGGTTAAGATGGACAAGGCAGACACTGTCCCTGCCCATAAACAGGACACAGCCTAATGGGGAAAAGATACTTACTTACTCATGCATGCAACATGTGTTTATTGAGCACCTACTCTGTGCTGAGTGTTGTGCTAGGCCCTGTGGAGAAAACAAGCAAAGCCTGGCTCCTGCCCTCTAGGGGCTTATAGTCTGGGGGGAGGACACCCAAATAACTGACTACCATTATACTAGTCAGATGGGGTAAGTGCCCGGATGAGTTTAAACCAGGTGTCATAGGAACAAAAGATTGACAGGTTTAACGACAGCATTAGTGTCTGTGGTTGCTGGTATCCAGCACCCATGGGTTTCAATCATATATTTGGAGTCAGAAAAGCAGAGCTTTGGCCTTCCAAGCCTTTGAGGGTTCTTGGGGGAGAGAGTTTAGAGGCAGGATGAGTGGTTGTGGGGAGGCAGACAGAGTGGTCCAGGGAAAGCACGGCTGTGACCAGGAGGTGGGGGGGGCAGTGCACACAGGTAAGACAGACTTTCCTTGGAGAGAATGGAGTTGACTCAGGGTCAGGTTGGATGCTGTGAATGGAGCAGGGGGAGGAGCTGTCTATGGCCCCAAAGCTCCAGGTGGTGGGCGGGGCTAGAAGGACAGACATTTCATCACCAAGACAGGGAGCAACTGATGCAGGCAGGAAATGACAGGAAAGTTTTTGCATCTGTAGTATTTTCAAGACTTCCTCCCAAAAGGCCACCCATGAGTAAACTTCCCCATGCTTTAGGTCTTAGCTGGGTTTTTATTTGTTTTGTTTTTTATCTTCATCTGCCCCACTGGACTGAACACTTGAGCACAGTCATCTCCTTGGGGGTCACCTCCAAGAAGCCTTCTGGGATCCTCCCCACGCCCCAGACCAGGGTGTGTCTCCACTCGTGTGTTCAGGGACCCAGCCCTACAAACACCATGCTGCCCTGCACCTCTTCCCATACCCACCCCTCCCTTCCCATACCTACCACCCCTCCAGTATGGGCTCCTGGAGGGCAGGGGCTGCCTTGTCCACCTGTGAGTCCCCAGAGCCTCCTGTACAGCATGGTGTAGCTGACAGTCCATAGTAGGGAGACCTTTGTGTACTTTGTTCACATAAGCAGATGTTCATGGGGCGCCCAGGGAGCTGAGTCAGTTAAGCATCCGACTTTGGCTCACATCATGATTTCTCAGTTTGTAAATTCGAGCCCTGTGTCGGGCTCTGTGCTGACAGCTCAGAGCCTGGAGCCTGCTTCAGATTCTGTGTCTCCTTCTCTCTCTGCCCCTCCCCTGCTCATGCTCCATCTCTGTCTCTGTCTCTCTCTCTTTCTCTCTCTCAAAAATAAACATTTAAAAAAAAAAGTTAAGGGCGCCTAGATGGTTCAGTCAACTGAATGTCTGACTTTGGCCCAAGTCGTAATCTCATGGTTTATGGGTTCAAGTCCTGCAGCAAGCTCTGTGCTGACAGCTCAGAGCCTGGAGCCTGCTTCACATTCTGTCTCCTCTCTTTCTGCCCCTCCCCTGCCTCACACTCTATCTCTCTCTCAAAAATGAATAAACATTAAAAAAAATTTTTAATAAAACAAAATTTGTTACATTTTTAAAAAAATTTCTTAGGGGCGCCTGGGTGACTCAGTCAGTTAAGCATCTGGCTTAGGCTCAGGTCATAATCTCACGGTTCGTGAGTTCAAGGTCCGCGTCGGGCTCTGTGCTAACAGTTCAGAGTGTGGAGCCTGTTTCGGATTCTGTGTCTCCTTCTCTCTCTGCCCCTTCCCTGCTCACACTCTGTCTCACTCTGTCTCTCAAAAAAAATGTAAAAAAAATTTTTTTTAATTTCTTTTTTAAATTCTTTTGAAAAATTCTTTAAAAAAAATTTTTTTTAAACCCCGCAAATGTTCCTGAGCCTGCACTGTGTGCCAGGCCCGTGCTGGGCACCACCTAGGATGGTACATGGAGATGTGAGTTATCATCCTGGGTGACCCAGCCCCCCAACACACGTACACCGAGGAAATACACACACCCCCAGGTACCACTCTAAGCACACGTGCCTATGCCTGGGCAGGAGCACTCACCCTGGGGTATTTCCTTCCTGAAAGTTTACAATTCAGAATGCCAGTTTGTTCCATGCAATTGATCCCTGTTTTCTTTGGCCCAAAACACATTTTAAAAATGACTTCGATCATTTTACAACCCAGACACACTGTTGGTTTCAGTAATCTTTTCATTATAAATTTATTTATTTATTTTGAGAGAGAGAGAGCTTGTGCGCACAAGCAGGTGAGGGGCAGAGAGAAGGAGAGACAGAATGTCCAGCAGGCTCTGAGCCATCAGCACAGAGCCCCACTCGGGGCTTGAGCTCATGAACCATGAGATCATGACCTGACCTGAGATCAAAAGTCAGATGCTCCACTGACTGAGCCCCCCGGGGCACCGCAGTTTCAGTAATCTTCAGCAAACGCTCTGGATTTTTTTTGACACACGGCACATAAAAGCAAGCCTTTTGAATGTATTTATTATCTGAGACATAAACATCACAGATGATACTCCCTAAAATTAACTCCGTGTATTAAGCGTGGAGAAATTAATGGGGTGAAGCAGGGGGCCACAAATGTTTTCTGCGAAGCACCAGGTTTATGGGCTTGCGGGCCACGTAGCTTCCATGATAGGCACTTAGTTTTGCCGCCGTAGCCTGAAAGGAGCCAGAAACAATATGTAAAGAAGTGCAGCTCATGTTCCAATAAGAGTTCATTGACAAGAGCAGGCTGCTGGCCAGCCGTGGCCCACGTGGGTAGTTTGCCGGCCCCCGGTGAGAAACGCTGGGTTCCTCTTGAGCCTTTGTCCCTTCCCAGAAGTGAGACCCTTGATAAGGCATTGAACCTCTGCAGCCCAGGTGCTCCATCAGCGGGGGCGGGGGAGGGGGGTACAAGGGGATGTTGGATGCATCTGCCCAGCCAGTGCCTGGCACTTGGCAAGTGCCCAGGAATGTGATCCCTGGAGGGGGGCCATCTCTGCAGTGCTGAAGCATGGCCTCTGGTGTTGTGGAGATGGGGGTTTGAACCCCAGAGCTGTCACATCACCTCTCTGGGTCTAGGTTTCCTGATCTATGGACCAGAGTAAAAATAACACGTCCGTCCCTGGTGAGTGTACGGTGAGGAGCAGAGGAGTCAGTGTGTATAAGGCACTTACCTAGCGCAGGGACCGACAGATGGCTGCTCTGTGACTGTCGTTTGTAATCATGGTTGCTGCTGATTTTCACCCATTTCAATACATGGACGACCACATTAGAAGCGATTGCCAAAACCCGGCCAATCTAAACGCTGTTTGTTATTTAATCGATTGCTGTGCTGTCATTTGATGTCCATGTTTATTCATTAGTCCCTTTAAAGAAACATATATACAGCGCTTTATATGGGCCAGATATTGTTCTAACTACAAAGACAAATGTTAACTTACTTAATCGTCTCGGCCACCCTATGAAATGGGTTTCATCATTATCGCCACCATTTTATAGATCAAGAAACTGAGGCACAGAGAGGTTGAGTAACTAACTTGTCCAGGATTACACAGCTAGTGGCAGAGCTGGGATTTGAACCAGAGTCTGTGCTTGCTATCCCTCCACTCTTATTAGGAGATGCTTGTCTACATCCAAGACTTTCTTCTCGGACACGGGGCCAGGCCCTGCTTAGTTTACCCCAAAGGAGTGTTCAATTCACCAAGTCATTTCCTGCCTTCATACACTCCCATGTCACTACCCCCAGGGTTATCCCAGTAGATAGCAGTGGGTAAATTAAATAACTACCAGTGGTCAGTAGCTAGCATTTATTGAAGGGTTGTCCGGTTCCAGGCCCTATTATGATGTCCCTTAATCTTTCTATCCAATCTATAAGGCACATCCACATTTTATAGCGGAGTAAAATGAAGCTTAGAGAAGTGAACCTAGCTGCTGAGGAGCTAGGACTCCCCCGGGCATGGGACTTCAGAGCCTGACTCTGAAACACATTCTCCTACCTCCCTTGGCCACAGTATAACCAAAGTGGTGAGGCCAGCTGACAATCTCCTCCATGCCAGGCCCTGCTCCCAATGCTTCATATGTATCGTCTCACTAAATCCTCAAACAGCTCAATGAAGTTGATCTCGGGGTGCCTGGGTGGCTCAGTCAGTTAAGCATCAAATTTCAGCCCAGGTCATGATCTCACAGTCCTTGAGTTCAAGCCCCGCGTCGGGCTCTGTGCTGACAGCTCAGAGCCTGGAGCCTGCTTCCGATTCTGTGTCTCCCTCTGTCTCTCTGCCCCTCAAAAAATAAATAAACATTAAAAAAAAATTGAAGTTGGTCCCTTAAACCCATTTGCAGATAGGGAGACTGAGGTAAGAGGAGCTCAATTTACTTGGTAGGGTGCTGCATTGCTCAGATGTCCCTTCAGGAATGCCCCCCCCCACCCCCCCCACCGCTGAGAGGGGGCTGCCCGCACAGCCAGAGCTACCTTGGCTGAAGAGAGCCATCTTGCCCACGCTTCTGCCCCCTTCCTGGGCTGCCCTCTTCTGGTGATTGCCTGATGAGGCAGGCGTGGAAAGGCCCCACTGGGGGCAGCCCTGAAGGGTCCCTCATCTCCCTGCAGGGTTCGCTAGGCCCTGTTGTGGTGACATTGCAGCTCGACTGTCCACCTACCACCCTGCCCCCCCACCCCCATCCCCGCCGCCCGGCCCAGTCTTGCTTCCTGGAGACTGAACCAGAACATTGTCAGCGCAGGATTTTAGCTGGTCTGCAGCGACCTCTCCACTGGGCTTGGGTACTGGCAGCTCTAGGGAAGGGGCGGGTGGGCTGCCTCAGATCCTTGGGGGCCGCCCGAGGTTGCCCACACCACCAGGGAGCTCTGTTTTGGGGAGACCTGATTCCACCCTGGCCCCATCAGAACCCAGTGTGAGGAACCCCGGGGTAGCGTGGTTGAGGCAGGCTGGGATGTAGGTTTGCAGAGAGACTTGGCCTCTAGGCCTCAGCCTTCTTTTTCTGGACTAGTAGAATCACCTCCTAACTGACCCCCTGCTCTGGACCCCTCTCCCCCCCCCCCCCTCCTGGTTTACCACAGTCACTGTGAGGAACAGTTTGTGGCTTTGAAGTGAAGTCTGATGTGGACTCTTCCCCAGGGGCCCAGACTCTGTGTGCTTCCCACAGCTCAGGGGGCCCTTCCCTCCTGGGGTCCTCCAGGGGTCCGTCCCCTGCCCAGGGACTCCTGTGGGACTGAAGCAAATGGCGGCCGTGGGCACCATCGGAGTAAAGACCCTTCCTGTGTGCTTACCGCTTCTGCAATGACTGACTTATTTCCTGGAAGCGTGTCCTCAGTGTTTTCCGACAGCGGCAAATCACCGTCTGTAGGATGCCTTTTCTAGCAGCTTCTAGCAGCTGCCTCTCACCTCTGCAGGTGGGTCTGGGCACTGCCTCTCTGCACACATAGAGCTCCGTTCCTGCCTCTGTCCTGGCCTGTCGCAGGCCACAAGGGTGTGTGAGTCACATATGTTCCTGCGTGCCTCTCACCTGAGGCAGGGGCATCCTGTTTCCCCGATTCCTTGGCCCCCAGCACAGCCTGGGCGCCTGTCAGCTCCTCACCCTCCTCCCTGTGGTTTCTCAGCCACTTTGGGAAAAGTTCTGGTGGGAGGAGGATCTATGATCCACATCACCTGAAATTAAGTTTCTGGAGCTCCAGCTCCTTCCGTGGACCACGTCACCGTGGGTTTAGTACAGGCCGGCCATTGACACTCGTGAGCGCGTCTCACCCAAACATCCCGGCGGCCTCTTGAGAACTGTTCTGGGAGCCTTGGGGTCTAAGCCGTGTCTGCCTTTCAGCTCGTTCTGCACAGAGTTTGTGACAAGCCTGGTGAAGTGGCTGGAGTTGCCCGGAGCTGTCTTACCGACCATGACCGCTTTTGCCAATGGCCTGGGAGGCGAAGGAGCAGACGTGTTTGCCCCCATTTTATTGAAGGACCCCATCTTGAAGGACAACCCGCTGGTGATCATTCAGGTACACCCACCATCCCCCCGGTGGTCGGGGGAGGGGGGGCGCAGCTGGCTGTTGGGGAAAGAACAAATGATTTCCTTTCAAAGTCAGTCTGAAAACCGCTTCTAGTTTAGGCGGTTCTAGTCTAGTTCTAGTCTAGGCGGGATCTTTGAAAGATAAGGTAGCTTGTCGTAATATCACAGGATGCTGATCAGAGCTAATAGTGAGTTACTACTACTGAATATTTCCTGCGACTTTAATTTAATATGTAAATGGTGCTTATTATGTGCTAGCACCTTACAAATATTAGCTCATTTAATTCTCAGAGCCACTTTATGAGTTAGGTAGTGTGATCATCCCCATTTTATAAGGGGGAAAACTGAGGCACAGAGAGGTTAAGGAACTTGCTCTGGGTCATGCTGCTTGACACGTGACCTAGCCAGGAATTGAACCTTGGCAGTCTGACCCCAGAGTCCAGGCTCCTGAGTGCTAAGCTGTGGTGCCTCTTTTCAGAAGAGAAGCAGCTCCTCTGTGTGTTCTGGGGTGTGCCGCTCACCTGCTCTGTGCAGTTACAGATGACGCGGGCTGTTGTCGAATCAGTGGATTTCCTTCCTTGAAATTCCCACACGTTTCTTTATTTGCCTGTCTGTGTGTCTGGCTCACCACTAGGACAAAAGGCAGAGCTATTTTGTCCGTCTTGTTCCCCTACTTAGTGAAAGTCAATAAGTGCTGTTCAAACAAGCAGATAGCTACGTATCAAACACATCGCTAATTCCTGTCCCTTTTTCCCCCAGGACCTTCTCAGCTTCTCCCTCCAGGATGGTGAGTTGATTTTCTAAGTTCTATCTATTTGGGGTCTCATCTCCATTCATAGCCTGGAAAGTCGGTGACAGGTGCTGTGCCCTGTGGGCCCGACCCCTCCCCCATGGTCTTTTGGTACAGAGAAGGAAAGGGACCCTGTGCAGTGGGAGAACCAGTAAGCACTTCATTCATGCCAGACACTGTGGGTGCTTGAGAGTTATTTCGTAAGGCCCCGTGGCTTGTCCTCCTAAGCAGCTCTTGGATCTGATTCCTTCGCTGTCTCCACCCGCCATCCCGGCCTAAGCCACCGTCACCCCCTCCTGGTGTCCTCAGGTCTTCCTGCCTCCATTCTAGTCAGCACTTTGTTCTCCACGCTGCCACTCAGTGATCTTTCCAGATGCACACGGGACCACGCGTGGCTCCCACTGTGCTCCAGAGAGTGGCCCCCGGCCCCACCCGACCTCGTCTCTCAGCACACCCGTCCCCACTTTCCACAGCGGCCTCCCCAAGCGCCTGTGCTTCCTGCACCGCGGACTTTGCACATGCCCTTCCCTGCTCATCTTGTCCAGTTACTTCCACCTTGCCTTCAACCCTCCGCTCAGGCCTCTATTCCCTGGGGAAGCCTCTGGCCTCCCATCTGGGATGCTCCTCCCAGCACCACGTGGCCACGGCTGCATTTGAATGGTTACGTGATTCTTTGCGGGCTTCCCCTCTGGACCGCAGGCACCAGGCAGGCAGAACCACATCTGGTTTTCTTTACCACGTATTTCTAGTACCTAACATAGCACCTGGGACACGGTCCATACTTGGTAGCTATCTGTTGAATGAATTAATGAGATAGATCTTATTGCCCCATTGTGTGGGTGAGGAAGTCGCTTCAGAGAGGTTAAGTGATTTACCCAAGGCTTCACAGCAAGTGGCAGCGTGGGATCCCACCTGTTTTCGTTCCTGGGGCTGTTGTAACAAATTACCGTACCCTGGGCAGCTTGAAGCTGCAGAAATGTATTCTCGCAGAGCTCCGGAGGCCTGAATTCTGAAAGCAAGTGTCAAGCAGGGTCTCACTCCCTCTGAAGGCCAGGGAGGAGAATCCTACTCACCTCTTTCAGCTTCTGCGAGCTCCCGGTGTTCCTTGGCCTCTGGCCATATCTCTCTGGTCTCTGCCTTCATCGTCTGTCCCGTGGCTTCCTCCTCCCTTCTCTCTCCTCTCCGTGCCTCCTGTAAGGACATTGTACAGGCTGCCCTCGTCTTTAACTTAATTATATTTGCAAAGACCCTTTTTCAAAATAAGGTTGGAGGTTCCAGGTTCCAGGACGTGGATGTACCTTTTGGGGTCCCCAGTCCACCCACTGCAGCACCCCGGGGTGCTCTCCATCACACTCCTTCAGGGCTGCCTCACGACCACTCCTTACGCCCGTAGCCCCGCATCAGGTTCTCCCCACCACCTCCTCTCTGCCCGGGCCCCTCTGTTACTGTGTGTGTGGCTTCTTCTGTTCCCTGGGCTGGCGAGGGACTTTGGCACCAAGACCTCTGATATTTATTCTGGCAGCAAGCAGGAAGGAGGAACAGAGAATGATAAGTAAAATCCCAACAGCCCCCAAACCATCACGTGGGGAAAAGTTACACATTTAGGGAAAAACTACGTAAAATTACATTTAAAAAGTACACAGGGAATGTTGCACCACCTCCCCAGGGGAGCCCTGGCTCGTGGGGAGCGGGGGGTGGGAGGAGGAGGAGGAACGGAATCACGAGAAGAGGAACAGCATGCGCAGGAACACAGGAGGAAAGAACACAGGGGGGAAGGTCACTGGGGGCAGGAGCCCAGCGCGCAGGGCTTTGGGCCACCTTGGCGGCTGAGCTGGGGAAGAGAGCAGGTGCATTTCACCCAGGTGGACTGTAGGAGGCGTCCCTGTCAGCCGGGCGAGAGGAAACATGGGCCTCGGGGAGGGCAGCAGAGATTCTGGGGGGTGAAGGGCTTTCCTGGGAGTCATTCTGATGGAGAGACTGCAGAATTGGTGAGACACCCGGTAGCGGAAATGCAGGACAGCGGCCAGGAGTGATGTCCCATCTCTGGCATTCTGGTTGCCCGATGCCCGTTGCCTGGGTGTTCGTATCCAGCTGGGGAATCCTGAGTGACCCTTTCAGGCAGAGTGGTGGTCAGCGACCCTAAGAGAGTAGAGAGCTGGGACCTCCTCAAGCCTGCACAACAGGTCACAGAAACTAGTTTCTCACACACGCTTGCTACTAAAGCTTGTTCAGCGCAGTGTCCGCGACGATGGCAGAGCGCAGAGGTCACCGTCCCTTGGGGCTTCTTCTTCTGAGACGAATGCATTTTTCTTTCATATTTTTTAAAAAGAAAGAGCCTTAAGTCCTTGCTCTTCATGGTGTGGTCCGCGGACCAGCAGTGTCAGCAGCGGGGAACTTTGGTCGAAATCCACACTCGGGCCCCACGCAGACCTACTGAACCAGAATCTGTGCATTGACAAGATCCCAGATGCTTTATAGTCTGAGAAGCTCAGCTCTAAGGCTCAAAACCCAAACTATATTTTTTGGCCCGACTCTAACCAAACAGAATATTTTCACTCCATATCTCAGAGCTGAATGGGGCCTCACAGGTGACTTGCTGAGGCCCAGTTCCCAGACAGGTGTGGCGTTAATACTCCTCTGTTTGCTGACGAGACTTGCCCAGGAAATGGCACAGTGGCCTGAGAGCATTGCTCAGTCATGACGCTGTTTTTTGTTTTTTTAGAACAGAAGTAAGGAAGGGTTAATAATGTCTGATTCTCCCCGAATGCTCGCAGAGGAGAGGATTGAGTTTGCACGGAGACTCAAGTAGCTGGAAGGCACAGACACTCTCACGTTATAATCCTGTAACGACTAAGCCACCAACTGAGCATCCACTGAGTATCCACCGTTGCTAAGGGCCGTACAGCCAGCTCCCCCCTGCACGGGGGGTTGTGGGGGGATGGTTGAGGCTCCTGCTTCCGTTTTGTAGGTCTGAGACATATGGTCAAGGTCATCTTGGATGAGTCTTTTGTTTTTCCAGTAGAGAGATTAAGGCCCAGAGACGGGAAGGGGCTTCCCCTGGGACACACAGTGCTAAAGGCAGAGTGGGCCTCAGACCCAGGCCTCTGGCCTCCCGGGCTAGCACTTGGTCCCGTTGCCTTATCACTGGGTGGGAGGAGAAGCTGTCCCAGTGCATCCACATCTGCCTCAGTTTCTCCCTTTCCTTATCTGGAGAGCCGTGTCACCCCACCCCTCCTCCTGCCCCCCACCTGCAAACCACAAATCCTCCTGAGCACCCTTGGGCTACTAGGACACAACTTACCCCTCTCTGCCATGGGTTGACCTTGGCCACAGGTCTCGTTCCTGCAGAACAATTGGAGTGGGTTTAAAACCACATGCCTTATGTCACCACCTGGTACATCGTGCCCTACTGGGGGCGTTCTCTGAGCTGTGTTGAGCCCAACACTGCCTTTTAGATTCTATTGACAGTAACCACCACTTAGCACCTGTTAATGCAGGTCGCCATGCTGGCCCTTTTCACACATTGTCACATTTCATCCTCACAGCCACCCTTACTGCAGGCAGCCCACCCACTTTACAGATGAGCAAACCGAGGCTCAGAGTAACTGAGTAACTGGCCTCAGCTAGTGAGTGGCAGAGCTGGACTTTCTAACCAGAACCTTAGCAGATTTTACCCACAAGGGTTAGGACACACAGAGGCATCCCCACAGAATGTAATAGCACCCCATATAAGAATAACACCCATCCCTGATCACATTGGGGGGCCTTTGGCTTATCTGATGGCCTCGCCAGGTGCCTGCAGACATGAACAAGAGTGGCTTCAGCAGCACACCGGGACCCAGCGGGGGCAGGTGCTGGGGTTCCAAAGGTCTACAGAGGTCAAAGGCAGGACCTTCAAACCATCTAGACCACCGTCACATCATATAGATGGGGAAATGAGGCCCAGAGGTGGGGCTGGCTTGCGAGTAGTTCTCATGGCTAACTCTTTATCCATACTAACGAAGAACCAGGGACCAAGAAGTAGGGGGATTTTGGGAGTCAGCCTCCCTGGGTGTTAAAATTCAGGCTGTACTTTGGCAAGCTACTGAATGCCCCTGTGCCTCGGTTTCCTAAGGTATCAAATGAGAATAACAGGGGCGCCTGGGTAGCTCAGTAGGTTAAGCATCTGGCTTCGGCTCAGGTCATGATCTCAGTTTGTGGGTTCGAGCCCCACATTAGGCTCTGTGCTGGAGCTTCTCTTCGGATTCTGTATCTCCCTCTCTCTCTGACCCTCCCCTGCTCACGCTGTCTCTCTCTCTCTCTCAAAAATAAATAAAAGACACTTTAAAAAATGGAAATAACAGTAGTCTCACCCTTATAGGGTGGTGGTAAGGATTCAGTGAGAAACAGGTGCAGAGTGATGTGAACAGAGCTGGCCGCAAGTGCTGCTCACGAGTGGTGGGGTTTAGAGGCAAATGGCAAAGCCCCGGAAATCAGGAAACCTGGATACTCACCTTGTCTCTGAGACTCTCTCATTGTGTGACCTTGATCAAGTCCCTTAACCTCTCTGAACTGCAATATCAAATACAAATAAGGGACAACAGCCCGTTGCTCCTTAAAAACAACAAACAAACAAAAACTGTCTTTGGTTCTAAGAGCGCAGTTAGGGGTCTGGTAAGAGGAAGATCAATGTCAATGTTGGCCTGTTTTTTCAGGTTCTTACTTTCCCCATAAACTCCATGAGGGCAGGGCCCTGGTCTGGCTTGTTCACCATTGCATCCCAACATCTACCACAGTGATGGACATATGGTAGGCATATCATAATTATTGGATGGATAGATGGAAAGGTAGAGAGACAGAAGGATGAATGAATGGATAGGAAGAAGGAAGAGAGGAAGGAAGGACAAGTAGACAGAAGAGAGAATGGATGAATCAATGAATGGATAAATGGAAGGGTGGATGGATGGATGGATGGATGGATGGATGGATGGATGGATGGATGGATGGACGGACGGACG